TTTTTGACACAGAGTCTTGCTCTGTCACCCAGGCTGGAGGGCAGTGGCATGATCTTGGCTCACTGCAACCTCCGCCTCCTGGGTTCAAGCAATTATCCTGCCTCAGCCTCCCTTGCAGCCGGGATTACAGGTGCCCAGCACCATGCCCAGCTAATTTTTGTATTTTAGTAGAGATGGGGTTTTACCACATTGGCCAGGCTGGTCTCAAACTCCTGACCTCAAGCAGTCCACCCACCTCAGCTCCCGAAGTGCTGGGATTATGGGTGTGAGCCACTGTGCCTGGCCTAATTTTTGTATTTTTAGTCGAGACAGGGTTTCACCATGTTGGCCAGGCTGGTCTTGAACACCTGACCTCAAGTGATCTGCCCGCCTCGGCTTCCCAAAGTGCTGAGATTACAGGTATGAGCCACTGTGCCCTGCTAGAATTCATTTAATACTACTTTAATTGCTATTTCTTTCACTGTATTTGGTTTTACTCTGCTTTTCTTTTATGAATCCAGCTTATGAATCTATCTTTTTTCTACTGAACTCATTCAAATCTGCAAATACGTTTGCACTGTACCACATTTTGAATAAGTAAAATATTCAGTCTACTGCACTATTTTCTATTTTTACCATTTTTTTTTTCTTTTTTTTAGATGGAATCTCGCTCTGTAGCCCAGGCTGGAGTGCAGTGGCACAATATTGGTTCACTGCAACCTCCGCCTCCTGGGCCCCAGTTCAAGCAATTCCCCCTTCTCAGCCTCCCAAGTAGGTGGGATTACAGGCATGAGCCACCATGTCCAACTAATTTTTGTATATTTTAGTAGAGATGGGGTTTCAACTTGTTGGCTAGTCTGATCTTGAACTTCTGACCTCGTGATCCGCCTGCCTTGGTCTCCCAAAGTGCTGGGATTAAAGGCATGAGCCACCTCGACCGGCCACCATTGGTTTTAAAAAGATTTTTGTTTTGTTTTGAGACAACGTCTTGCCCTGTTGCCCAAGCTGGAGTGCAGTGGAGCGATCACAGTTCACTGCAACTTCTGCCTCCCTGGCTCAAATCTTCCTACCTCAGCCTCTAAAGTAGATGAGACTACAGGTCTGTGTCATCATGCCTGGTTAATTTTTACGAATTTTTTTTTTTTTCAGTAGAGACAAGGTCTTACTATGTTGCCCAGGCTGCTCTTCAACTCCTAAGCTCAAGTGATCCACACACCCTCAGCCTCCCAAAGTGCTGGGATTACAGGCATGAACCACCATGCCAGGCCTAAAAATGTTTTAATATCAAATCAGTATCAGGGGATCACTCCTGTAATCCCAGCACTTTGGGAAGCTGAGGCAGGTGGATCACCTGAGGTCAGGAGTTTGAAACCAGCCTGGCCAACATAGTAAAACCCCATCTCTACTAAAAATACAAAATTAGTGGGGTGTGGTGGCACATGCCTGTAATCCCAGCTACTTGGGAGGCTACGGCAGGAGAATCACTTGAACCTGGGAGGCGGAGGTTGCAGTGAGTGGAGATCATGCCATTGCGTTCCAGCCTGGGCAACAAGAGTGAAACTCCGTCTCAAAAAACAAAAACCAAGGCATAACCCTTCAGATTTTTTTTTTTTTTTTTTTTTTTGAGACAGAGTTTAGTTCTTTTTGCTCAGGCTGGAGTGTAATGGGGCGATCTCAGCTCACTGCAACCTGCACCTCCCAGGTTCAGGCAATTCTCCTGCCTGAGCCTCCTGAATAGTCGGAATTACAGGCGCACACCATCACACACAGCTAATTTTGTATTTTTAGTAGAGCTAGGGTTCCACCATGTTAGCCAGGCTGGTCTTGAACTCCTGACCTCTGGTAATCTGCCCGCCTCGGCCTCCCAAAGTGCTGGGATCACAGGCGTGAGCCACCACGCCCGGTCAACCCTTCAGATTTTTTTTTCTTTCATATGCAAGCCTACCTGAATGACAGATTTTTAAGATCTCAACGTAGTGAGTTCAACAGGCTTGGCATGTAGAGTGCCAAGATGGGCAAAGTACCCTGCACAGGGGACCCTGCATAGCAGGACCATCTGTTTCAGGTGGGATCAGTCAGGAAGGCTTCCTGGAGGCCTTTGCTTAGCTGTAAAGAGGAATGGGAGGAATGAGTTTGCCCAAGGGGGACAGCGATGGTATGACACCAAAAGAAGTATCTGCTGTGCTCACTACTTCTATTTTTTACATTTTTCAAGTGGTTGGCCATGTCAAATGTCCTCTTCAATGTTTGGAGTCTATATAGGACATTAACTGTCACCCTCAGGCAGCAGCACAGTTATTTAAAACTAAGCCTGTGGTTCCAGCAGATTCAATGAGGAAGGGCCCGAGTCTCTGGCAGCAGAGCCCTGTGTCCATTTATTCCAGGCACAAAACCAGTTCTCAGAGACGCCAGTCAGGCCTAGGCCCCAGTGCACTGGATAGTAAAATCCTAAAGCCTCTGACAAGCTGGGAAAACAGGCATCTGGATCACTGCAAGGACCCAGCATCCCTCTGTGTTGAGGAGGTATGGCAGCACATCCCAGAACAGTTTTCTGCTTCCTTCAAACACATCAGGTGCCTGCTGGCCTGAAGACACTGTGCTGGGTGCCACACCCATCACTGCAATGCACTGGGATCTGACCCAAGAGGCTGAGAGCCAGTCTTACTAGGAACAGAGTATGGGGCTCCAGTGGAGCACTGTTCCCTGGGCTGCTATGTCGTACTGTGAGCTTGCGTGATCTTGCTATCTTCGGTTGGGAAATCCAAACACAGAAACTTACAGCCGGAGTTGCTCTGAATAAGGGAGGAGACGGGCCCCCCCATCTCAGGACCCCCTGAGATGGTGCTTACGGAGAAGCAATAGCAACGATCATTTCCGTTACCCAGTGCTGTGTGTCAGGTGGGCACTTTCACAGTGATCTGCATGTATTAGCTCATTTAATTGCCACAGGAGCCTTAGAAGGTAGGTCTTATTACCTACTCCACCCAACTGCAGGAAAAGGGCACTGTGGCAGACTGCTGCCATGACCACACAGCTGGTTAAGAGACAGAGGGGCCTTTGAATCCCAGGATGTCCAGCTCCAGGGTCCATGCTCTTACCTATGCTGCTATCCCGGGCCGCACATGTCTGATGGGGTGGGAGTGGGAATCGGGCACAGGGATCCAAGCAAAAGCATAGAAGAGGCATTAAATTCAGAAACACCCAGATTGAAATCTCAGCTCTGCCATTCCTAGCAGTGTGAGCCTGGCTGATCTATGCAATCTCTCTGAACCTGGTTTCCTCACGATGGTGGTGGAGGATGAAATGAGGTAATGTGTATAAGCACCTGGTGCAGAGAGTGACAGCGGGTAAAGGTTCAAGGCTGATGAAGTGTCTGGCCATGGAAATGGGCTGGCCAGGGAGGTGAGGGGACCTATAGTGGAGGGTGGGGAGGAGGAGGGTGGGTAGCAGGGGAGCCCCGAGGCTCAGGAAGGCAAAGGTTCAGTGCTCAGCAGGCTCTGGACCCAGCAGTAACCATGAGATTTCAGGCCATCTCAGATACCAGGTCCATGCCAATTACCAAGGGAATGGAAAGAGAAACCAACAAGTGAAGAGACACTGGTCAAGATGGGGCAGGAAGAGGAGACAGTATGCT